ATTTATCATGTCCGCCTGCAATTAAAAATTGAAAGAGGCAAAGCAACATCAGCCCGAGCCATTAAACAATTCAATTCCCAGCAAAATTGTTGAATTAGAATAATTAAGTGAGAGCGCAAATTGAACTCGTTAAATAAACAGAAAACAACAAAGCGACGCAGAGACATGTGCCGATCAAATTGGTAGCAAAGCAGCAACAAATATGTAATTAAAATTAAAATATTTCAGTTCAATTAAAGGAAAAAGGCTAAAAAGGGGAAAGGCGAAAATGCGGAAGGGGTAAAAGGAGAGACAGGACAAATGTGAAATGGGCAAATGCAGACAGATTCACAGCTGGCTTGTTTCATTAATAAGCAAAGCTTAAAAATGACAGGCGAGTAAAAACCGAACGACTAAATATACCCTGCACTGTAGAGGGGATACAGAGAGAGAGAAAATGGAAACGGAGCAAATGCAAAGATCCTAAATCGACTTGATTAGCAACTAAAGAAGCCTAACACACTCAAGAGTGGGCCAATGAGCAACTACAACATACCCTGTATAGCAAATGAAATGGAGAGGAAAGAAGAAAAACGAATTCAATCTAAAATCCTCTCAGAATCTTATGAATCGTAAGCAAAGAAAGATAAGCAATAAAGCACATAAGAAAGAGACGCAGAGCATCTCCCTGTGTTGTAAAGTGAGAATGGGATAAAGGACAAAAATAACCTGTATACCCTATATACATTGCATGCCCTATATACCCTATATACCCTGTATATCCTGTACTCCGCCACTAGTCTTTTATGCCCTATGCCCCATTCACACTCCCTACGCACAACCAATATACCCGTTTATAACTCGTGGGCGGCAATCAAATTAAAATCGCATTTGTCTTCCTCTCTAATAAACAAATCAAATTTTCGCTCGTGGCAAGGATTTTCCATCAATTTTAAATATGGGCACGCTTCGCAAAAATAAACTCAGACCTGTTTTTCCCTTTGGGTTTTAATCGCTTTACTATCAATTGAAAACAGAAATTAAAATTCAACGAGCGCAGGCTGTACTGTAAATTTTTCACATATTAATAGACATTTCAGAAATTTAAATTTGTAATTAAAAATTCAAAGTTTATGCTCATATTGAAGGCAATGAAAATTTCATTTATTTCAATTTTAAGTAGAAGAATAATAAAAGCAAGTTGGGCATGTACAACTGCTTAATACTCCTTCCAGCTACACAGATCCTAGACTGTGTTAAATTTCTTATTAAATCAACGCGCTTTTTGCCACGCCTCCTTTTCGCGTAGTCTTTACAGTTTATATAAAGATTCTGCACTTAGATATAACTAGCTTCACCTTCTCTTTAGATAAACGCACATTGCAGACAACTAATATGCCCGTTCTCACAGCAAGAGCGAGTATAAAGTGGCATTAAAATATGATATTAAACGAAGATAGAAAGAGAGAGAGAGCGAGAGAGAGAAAGTGATATTTACATTTTTATGGCGATTTTATTTCATTTTTAATGCGAATGCAACTTTAGGAAAATCCATAAATGTTTCTTTGCATAAATTATAAATTATAATTTATTTTAATGTATGTTTTGGGACACATTTGTAATCTCCAATTTAGGGCTCAATTTTAATTTATGTATTTTCTTTTTACTTTTTTTGTTGTTTTTAGCAATACTTTTTTCATATATTGTAAAACCTTAAATTAATTATTAAAATATTTTAAATGCAAATTTATTTCAACTTTTGTATTTACATTTATTTATTTTTATATTTTTATTTCTTTTTATATTTTTATTTATTTTTTATTCCTCGTAAGTAATACA